CACGCTCACTTTTTTACTTTATCCGAGCAGTAAGTGCTTTATATTATTCTCAATTTCGTGTATAATATAGTATATGTTATATATGTGTAAGTATATTTGTTAATTATATATAATTATTTGTTTATATATGAAATTTTAGTATGTATGTATATCAATAATTAGTAGTACCGCATTCGAGTATTCTGACACTTCCCTATGGTTGACTGGGAGAAAATGTTTTTAGCATTAAGTCCGCCATGTACACATATATGTAGTAATGAATAAATAAATAAATGGCAAAGAAGCTGACGGCCCACCTGATGGACAATGGTAACCGTCGCCTATAGACATGAACAGTACCATGGACTTAACAGAGTATACTTTAATTGGTAGTAAAATATATTACTCTCTACTCTCGTGCTAGTGATTGACTATACAATTTTTTTTGCGGAAAAATCTTAGATTTTTATCGTTAAATATTTAATATTCATTCATTAAATATACTTCGCAAAAATGACGTCATATTTAATACGTAATTGTGATCTATGTACTTTACCGACTGTCGTTGTGTTTGACAACAAACAATGAGTCATTTGGTCGCTTTGCCTCCACATTTCCTAGTACGTATCACGTCTATGGATGTTGAGAATAGGGAAAACCCAAATAAAAAACCCACATACAGAGATGAATGGACTGGTTTTCATTGTGTCGTTGACTTTATAATAAATTGTGCTAATTATGAAAATTTGAATGTATTTTCATCACAGTTCATCTATATTGGTCATCATACCAGCTGTTAAGTGTTCACTCCTGAATAGGCTTTTTCATATGGGGTGTTTCGCCAGTAGTTACCACGCTTGGTAAAAGGCTTTTTACATGGCAAGATGATGTTTTAAAAAGAACGCTGCTGCCCATCCCTTGACCATTAAGTTCCCTTAATCGCCTCTTACGACACCAAAGGGAAAGAAAAGGGTGGCCCATTCTATGTCGAGACGACACGACATCTACAAAAAATGTTATAATATAGTAATTGAACGATGTTTGTACATAGGAGATATTTCGTAAAGATTGGTATGAGGGTTTTACTATATTATATATACACGCAAAAAGTGCTGTATCAAACTGGACTAGTAGTGTTACTGAATATCTAATTTAAAATCTGGTGCGATGTGTCACCTTCTGAAAGCAACACAGACAAAGTAGTGGCAGAATAATAGTACAATTTAAAAGCTTTTTACAAAACCAGAAGCGTTGCAGGTGTGCTGTCGCCCTTTATATAGAAATATGCTTTTTTCTCGAAGATTATGATATCATATCGGTTCAGAAATACTACTGCTAGAAATTAACTCCAAAGAGTGGTTATGCGTGGAAGAAAGAGCATTGAACAACATACGGTACGGTACGGTAGTGAAAATCAGCAGCAGGTATCAATCCGAACAATTCCTCAGAGCATTCCCCATGATAAATTCGGTAAAAGATGTACAGATTTGCAACATCTCTACGCAATTTCAGTACTTGTTATAGACACAGATTTGTACAAAAGTCTTGTTCAAACTATTTCTGTTGACGTCTATATTCTATAAATAGGCAGCTAATATCTATGTTAAGTTTCTTAATGTTCCACAGATAAAAAATATAACAATGTGCCAGTAATGTAAAAACTGAGATCTTTTTAGACATTTCGTGTATAAATAGCTAATATTGTCAAACCTAGTCCTTTCTAATTTGTATTTCACTGAACTTATAAATAAATAGGGTAAAACTAACAGTAGATTTAATTTAATAATAGTATTTTAAAATTTCGGATCTTTAAATATTTTTTTAGTCTAAATAAATTTTAAAAAATCCATTATTTAAAACAAAATTATTCATTCAAGTAGATTTATTTATAGACTTATGATACATTATTTTTAACTTAAATTTTATTTGGATAAATACAGTGACAACCAGCAGACGGTACAACATTTATTTTAAATTAACAAATCATGTTGATTAGCGCGCGGTTTGTATGAAATGTTCATAAATAATTTTTAGACTTATTTTTTTTTATACAACTTAGAATGGCAAACAAGCTGACGGCCCACCTGATGGAAAGTGGTAACCGTCGCCTGTAGACATGAGCAGTACCATGGACATAACAGAGTATATTGTTTCGCCCATGATACCCCCCATGCGTTGCCATTCCTGAGTAAATTCAAATTCAAAGAGTAAATTCACGTCATATCCCACCCATCAAACCGAAACACAGCCATGCAAACACAACTGCTTCACGGTTGAAACACGACTGTATTGCCATATGGTCCCGGTATATAACGGGCTACCCCTTTCTGCCCTGTGGGTGTTGTAAGAAATGACTAAAAGAGCTTAACGGTCGAGGGATGGACAATTTCCAACACATCTGCCAAACATCGCGACTACTAGCAAAACATGGAGAAGGCGTATATTCAGCAGTGGGCAGTTATAAATATGATGATGGTACTCATATTATATTTAAATACAATGTTTCTGAGTATCCATATATTCGATATTTATTTAAATATTAAATTTGTGCACCTTATATTCTTTACATCTGTGATAAAATTTATAAATATTTTCATCCGACTTCAAAGTAATTTAAGACTTATTTATTATTATTTTTTTATAAAATTTATATTTTTAATTTATTGTTGTATTTAAGATTGTATCCCAAAAAAACTGACTTCAATTATGACAAAATCAGTTACTTTAATCTTACAATTTCGATAAAATTTCTATGGTAGGGGAGACCGAGGAGAGTTGAACCATTTTTTATATTGAGACCCATAACTTTTTAATTAAGCGATAGAAATTAACTTGTATTATACTAAATTAAACCTTGTTTAACTAACTAATAAATGTTTAGGACAAAAACTGCTACTATTTCTTTTTTACCCATAAAAAGTTGACTTAAAGACAACTAGTGAGTTTGTATCAACTCCCCTCTTACTGAGATAAATTGAAACACTGGTCTAGGAGAGTTGAAACAATTATTACCTGGAAGCAATCCATTATTAAGGGACACAGATTTATAAGTAAATGTTATATTAAAGTTACAATTATTCTTAATTTGTACTATCAGTCTCATAGTTACAATATTGAGATCTTAGAAACAAAAAAATAGCAAATAATTATACACTGACATTTATAGAAAAAAAAAAAAATCTTAGTCAAACAAATAGTTATGGCACACATAAGATATTTTGCCTTCAGTGCATTCCAGGTGTGCCCATGCCTTACACTCCATACACTGGATCCATTGTTCATTTAGCTTATTTCTATAATCCCTGAAATATTATATATTGTCATAACTTTTTCTGGGTGTGAGTGCATCCAGTTATCACATGTCCTGTTGACAGCTTTTTTCATAGGGCCAAAGATAGCTCGATCCATGGGCTGAAGTTTGTGAGTACAATGTGGTGGAAATGTTAACAAAACAATTCCATTTTCCTTACAGAAATTAATGTTCTTTACAGCAGTATGTGAGGCATGGTTGTCCAGCAATAACGGAACTACAATATCTTTAGAATGACCGGACTTAATTTTTAAAATGTTCAAGAAATAAATAAAAATCATCTTCTTGGATCCATCCAGATCCGTTGGCTACTCCAATAGATCCAGATGGCCCATCACGAATACAATGATCATTAAAACGCTTGCGTGGGATTATAAACATTGGTGGAATGCAATTTCCTATTGCATTACCAGCTAACGCGATGGTGACCAAAGTGCCTCTTTTTGTTGAGGTCATGGCACTGACCTGTTTTTAACCTCGTTTGGAAATGACTCGATCTGGTTTTTGGACAGTTGTTATTCCAGATTCTTCACCATTCCAGATGTCCTTTGCGTCCGAGTGGTGTTTATCAAGCACAGATGTATAGTTTTTAAAAAACAATTCTACGTTAGTTTTGTTAAAGCTGGTCGCACGACCAAAACAAAATACCAATGCATAACAAAATGCAAACGACGTGAGTTGAAACAGGCTGTTTCAACTCTCCCAGGGTACAGAAGTCGGCTGCCATTGGGTTTGAGCTGATATAACTTTGTTACACTACACAGTCATGCAAAATCTTTATTGCAGTTTAAATCTTAGATTCATAAGCTGGCAAATAACATAATACACTTAGGCTAAAACAGTTAATTAATAAAAATTTTGATAAAGATATTATTATGATGAAAACTTACTTTTATGTATTTTTTCACCTGACATTTAATAGCGGTGTAAGCGTCGATCATGGTACATGAACGAATACTGAGCACCCGAGCGGGTGGCAGGAGGTTAAAATTAGCAAAGTTACCAACTTGCTAGTGCTTTTAGATTTCCAGAAATTTGTATTGTTTCAACCTACCTTTGGTTCAATTTTCCTCGGTCTCCCCTACTAATCTATAAGTGTATTGTAAATCTAATTTGGTTTGCAATTGACAGTGACATAAACCGAATTGAAACCTCTTTGTTTTTGAAGTCGGTTGAAAAAAGTAAGTTCTATTGTATTTTTTATACTATCAATTGATGCGTGTTACAAGCTCCTTTGTAATTTGTATTTCCAATATTGTATTCTTTTAATTATTCATTTTTTTATATTAACTGTCAGTATAATTTTTCAACACGAACCGGCGTTTTCTTTATTATAATCAGTTCACAATAATGCGTATTTAACTTATAGACAAAACTTCATATTTATTTTTGTAAATTTTGTCCATTCAAATTATATTCTTAATTTAAAAGCAATAATTACATACGTTCTGTTTTATTATACTTAGCACATATAGTAAACAATGTTTTCGTATTTTTTTTTAAGTATTCAGTAATATAAATTATAAAAAAAAGTAAAAAAATGCCATAATGTATTATCAGTTAACTAAAAAACAATATTGTTTATTGATTGGGCCAAGTAAATAGAAAAAAAAAAAATAGAATATAACTTTTTTAATATTATTTCATACAAATCAAAGACAGATACATATATAATATATCTTTAAAAATTAAAATATTTACAGGTACTTACATATTTCACGTTAACCACTACACCACAGATTAAACACAAACACAAAGAATCCTTACTTTTTCACTTTCGCAACGTTTTCGCGGGATACACGCGTTCGAAATACGAATTATATATTCTTTTTTGTTCAATGCAAGTGCATTGGCACATAAACGGCTTAACGGCGGACTGAATGGCGCGGACGACTACAATCAATTTATATACCTAGTCCTTGCGCGCCTAATTGTTCGCTTGCTTCGAGCGTCCTAGAACAACGCACGTGCCTCTCGTGGCTACCTCCAGAGATTTGTTTTTTTTTATTCATATTATTTTTACTTTAATTTTTTTTAAATACTATTGTTTAATTGAACTCTTGGCTTAATTATATTAAATACGTAATATAATATATACAAAAAAGACCTACATAATATAACTTTTTATTTATAAAACCGTAACCAAACCGTGTCTGTGTGCGCATTACGCAAAAACTACTACTCGGACTTTTTTTTAATGGGTGATAATGGAATGGTAACCCCACCCGCACTATCGTTATACACCGGCGGGGCACCAGTGAAGGATGATAGGTAAAGATGAAGCAGGTCTGTTTGCCCATCGTGATGAATTCAACAAGGATTGTTCACGATAGTTTCCAGGGAGAATCACGTGGAGGTCGACCTGATAAGGCACATTGCTAGCAATGAGGCTATCAAACTCCATTGCTAACAATCTCTTTCCCCCTATTACTCGTACTTGAAATTTAGTGCGATTACAACTTTTATTCTTTATCCAAAATGTAATCTTCTATACTTATAATAAATCTGTAGAGAGGTCAATTCTGTACATGAAATATATTTCCAAAATAACTATCAGGGGGTGATTAGTGATCGAAACTGATGCCAAAAATGCAATCAGTAAAATTTTTGTCTGCCTGTCTGTATGTTCGTTATAGAAACAAAAACTACTCGACGGATTTTAACGAAACTTGGCACAATTATTCTTCATACTCCTGGGCAGGTTATAGTATACTTTTCATCACGCTACGACCAATAGGAGCAGAGCAGTGAAGGGAAATGTTAAAAATGTCCACCCGTACGACAATATATTTAAAAGTATATGACACTCAGGGTTTGCTGGAAGAGAACTCTTACAGAGTTAAGCTCGCCTGTTGTACATCTTTATTTTATATATATTATATTTTGTAATTTTTTGTGTACAATAAAGAATAAATAAATAAACTATTGTAATTAACTGAAAAATAATGATATGCATGTGTAAATTTATAATAATAATTTTAATATCAATGTAACTTCAATATTAATATAACTAATAAATTACAATTAATATTTTATATTATTTTTTATTATTATTGCAAGTGTCATGGGGACCTTTGGGTCGGGTACGGGTCATGAATACGACTGACTATTAATTTAAATAATATTTAACAATAAAAAAACAACAAAAAAAAAAAATACATGCATGCACGCATTTTGCAAGCCAAACCGGCTGAATGTTAAGGCTACCCAAAAATGTACAATATTATCTCAACTTACCACATTAATCGCAATAAAAATTTCATTTCATTTCATTCTTTTATTAAAGGAATGTTCTGCCAGTAAAATTAAATATTTTCATCAAAGAAACATAGGTCCAAAAACTACAAAAACTTTTTAATCTTTAAAGACAGGATAGGAGATTCAAATTTTTTTATCGTTTTTGGATCCAGAAAATTTTTGAGTCTAGGCACAGATAATATAAATTTAAATTATTTTTATTTAAATAGACTCGTTTACTAATCTTATAATCTACTTTTAAATCGTATTTTTTTTTTATTTACTGCAACGTTCGGAAAGTTGTTATTTGTTGAGAAGAGCCTGCAAGAAATTCATCTTTTAAATCTCTGTTAACATTATGTGTATTTATTTAAATGTACTATGTCTAAAATTACATGGTCGTTAAAAGACCATGCACGATCGAACACCATGCACATTTATCATTCAAGTAATCGTTTAAGCTTTGTTCAATAAGTATTTTAAACATGTTAAAAGGTAGACCCAAAATATCCTTCGGTATCTTATTATAACATTTAATGCCCTCTCTCATAAAAGCCCTAACAAGTTTTTCTAACAATGCTTTGGAATAGCAAGTTTATATTTGTGTCTAGTGGTTAGATCATTGAGATCGCTGTTTCTAAGAAATAGTTGAAAATTCCTGCATATATACAAAATATTTGCATATATGCAGGAATACGTATTGGGAAGCAACGGTAAGAATATTTCCTTGTTTAAATTTTTCTCTTAGTGATTCACGACTTTCCGTAGAATAAATCGCGCGAAGAGCATGTTTTTGTAATACAAATATGCTTTGGATCGCGGTAATAATATTCCATTGGACAGTATACTATAAAAGTAACTAAAATAAACTATCCCAGGCTCACAAGCGGTATCGAACCCTTGATTCTTAGGAGAGATTTTGCCTTCCTCTGCGTGTTCTACCGCCCATACAATGGATTGTGCTCAGAGGAATTGTTCAATATGATGCCCACAGCCACTTTCTACCATCGTACGGCTCGCCATCGACAGGGAGTTCATCCTCATGTCCTACAGCCTCAATGGTCGCGTACTACGCGGTTTCAGAGATGTTCCCTCCCACGAACACTCAGGTTGTGGAATGAGCTCTCTGCCGAGGTTTTCCCAAGAGACTACGGCATGGGGTTCTTCAAAAGGGGGGTAAAGAGGTTTCTTCAGGGTCGACAACGCGCGCGTAATACCTCTGGTACTGCAGGCGTTCATAGGCTACGGTAATCACTTACCATCAGGTGGGCAATATGCTTGTTTGCCACCTCAGTGGTATAAAAAAAAACTAATCTGGTAGCTCCATTATTGGTATACCTACTGCGTAACTCGCGCAGTATCGTAGCATTCTGTTTAAAAATTTGTCATACCCACTTAATCTACTTACTTACAATACAATCTATTTATAATACATTATTTGTATTTTGACCTCTCGATGGAACTTCATTATATCTACTATAGAATATATTCAAAATATTAAATTAACGGTATTTTTGTTACCATATACAAATATTTACCCCTTTATTCATAATTCCCTCAAATTTTTCATAAACCTATTTTAGTCATTGAACTCTTGCTTTTGTGCTAAATTCTCCGTATGAACGAAAGTGACAAAGCAGTGTTATAGTTAAAGAAGTTTTGTAGTTTTAGTGTTTATGAATAAGAGGGTTAGTCTATGTGTAAAAGAATGGATTGTTGATAAAGTGGACTAGTAGCCCCATTACTATCTTTTTTTTTTTCTTTTGATGGGTGAAAATGGTATGGTAACCCCGCCTGCGCTAACGGGATACGCTGGCGGAGCACCAGTGAAGGGTGATAGATGAGAATGAAAACAAGCCAGTTAGCCCATCATGATGAATTCATCAGGAATTAACCATGATAGTCTCCAGGGAGAACCGCGAGGAGGTCGACCTGGCTGGGTATATTGCTAACAATGGGATTCTTAGTCTCCATTACTAACAATCACTTTCCCCCCTTCCCATTACTATCAAAACAGTTGCTGTCAGGTCGACCTCCCTGTTCCGCTTGGAAACTATCGTGTTCTATTCCATATGAATTCATCACGATGGGCTAACTGACCTGCCTTTTCATTCTCAGCTATCAACCCTCACTGGAGACCCGAGAGCGTATACAGTTAGATCGAGCAGGGTTACTATTCCATTATCATCCATAAAAAAAAATGTAAAAATACTATGTTAATCAATCAGGAACATGTATGCTATTACTAAAAATGTATAACCAATTCATTAAAGGCCCTATATGTAACATGGGCTTCTTGCCATAAAATGAGGATACAGCCTACCATAAAATCCTTATTCTATAGGGAAGGAAAACGCAAAACATAATCCCATCGTCTCATCCATATATGTAAGTATGTATATATGAATTCTCACTAATATCATAAATGTAAAAGTGAGTTTGTTTATTACCTCTTGACTTTATAATGACTCGATCAATCAGTAAATTTGGTATACACGTATTATTTAGAATGCAGAAGAGCATAGGCTGCTATTCATCTCGTTCAATCAACATGTTCCGGTCACGTGGACGACGTCACGGGTAAATACATAATCTACTTCTATACTAATATAATAAAGAGGAAAGATTTGATTGTTCATTTGTAATAGATTAAAAAAAAATAAAAAAAACAACTATAGAAAGTAAGCAGTAATAAAGTAATATAATAGATAGATTATATTTTTTAACTTATTTGTATATAAACTATTACTGTTTATTTTCATATTAAATCCTTTGAGGGAGAACAGAGAACAAAAAACCGACTTCAATTGTGGTAAAACCACTTACTTTGATTTAAAAATTAAAATATTAAACCGTTTTTGATAACACTTTTATGGGATCAATTTGTAAGTACATTGTTCCATTGAAAACAAGAATTTTACTAAAGAAAGTTACATTATCAACAAATGACAAAAGACTATATTTGTAATGGAGAAACTCCAAAACTACTCAAACCATTTTAATAATTCTTTCACCTATAAAAAGCTACATTATTTGCGAATAAGACTACATATTATTTTGAAAGTTCTATCTACGCATGCAAAAACAGATCGGATGGGGCTAGTAATATTATAAAGAGGGAAGATATTTTTTAATTTAAAAAAAAAAAACGAATAACGAACAATAATAATTTTCACACGTCATAATGTTCCTTAGTTTTTTTTTTTTCAATAAAGAGCTTTCTATTTGTAAGCCAGTTCGTAATTTAAATAAAACCTTTTATTAGTTACCTCCTTGGTAGCCATGTTTCGAAGTAAAAGGTCATTCCATTTTTAAATTACAGGACAGATATGAGTTTTTATAGTAATTTATTCTGGCCGCAAAACACGACAAATATGGATTTTCATACAACTTTTGCCGGCCGCTGCCCGTATGTATCTGGCCAGTACGGCAATTTTGATTTATCTCTAAGAAGATTGCCAACATAATGCTCATATTACCAAGCATGTTTGAGAAAAAAATTTATGACGTTAAATTACTGACCCGTTAACGACATAATCAAAACTTTAGTAATTAGTAGACACTCGATTCAGAATTCTAAATAAAATATTTTCAGTATAATGTTTCTACAAAATGTCTTCTTGTTCATTGGTGTATTTTGAAGTAGCTTTTTTGCA